GCTCTTTTTTCATTTTTCTTTTCATTTTTCTTTTCATTTTTCTTTTTTTCATTTTTCTTTTTTTCATTTTTCTTTTTTTCATTTTTCTTTTTTTTCATTTTTCTTTCATTTTTCTTTTTTTCATTTTTCTTTTTTTCATTTTTCTTTTTTTCATTTTTCTTTTTTTCATTTTTCTTTATGCTTTCATTTTTGCTTTTCTTTGCCTTTTTTTTCTACTTTTTTTCTTTTTTTTTTTTGTTCTTCTTCTCCCTGAATTCTTCCAAGAAAATCAACGGGAGGAAGCCATTTTCAAAGCCACTAAACAGGCTCCATTCCCTGCCAGGACAGGCTGCATTTCAGGGAACATTTCATTATTAGCTGTGGCTGCTGAGTAGTATGAATTCTTATTTTTTATTAATTTTTTTTGTCATAAAGAAACGATTCTGAAGCAGCTTCAGGWACTTTTTATCCAAGAAAGGACATCAGGAGAGACCTGCTCAAATYRGGATTGRTCTRAACCACAGAACTACTTGCTTTAAAATAGAAACGTGGGCAGAAAACAATTTTCAGCACGTTTCTAGATTTGGTGAACCTCATGCGGAGCAGACTTATGCCCTGTGAAAATATTTTTCTTTTTTTTTTATAATTTGTGGTTTTCTTGTGTGTCTTTTGGCAGGCTTGCAGGTGTGTTGCTTTTTGCCTTTTGGAAATTTTGTGGCTGTTGGCTTTTTTTCTTCTTTCTTTTTGTGGATTTGTGGCACTTTCTTTTTTCTCTATACCTTGAGGCTGTTGTCTTCTGTTGTTGGCAGCTCCAGAGCTGTTGGCTTTTTGTTCTTTTTTTGTTTGTTTGCCGTATTTTTCCAAGTAAGTCAGGAGTAAGAAGCAATTTCCAAAGCCACTAAATGGGCTCCATTCTCTTTCAGGATGGGCTGCTCTTCTGGGACCTTTATTATTACTGTTTTTTCCATTAGTTCTAGACCCATTCTGACCCAATGTCAGATATATGTAAGAAAGGAGTCGTCAACTCTGGAAGGGTGGGAAACACAGGAACGGGTTGGGGCCTTTTTCGTTAGCTGGGTTTTTTGTTTTCCCTTTCTGTTGGAGCTCTTTTTTCTTTTTCCGTTTTTCTTCGTTTCTGAAGTTGTGCCGATGAAAAATGAATTCATTTTGCCACATTTRTGGTCTTTGGGGTCTCTCTTTTGTAGGCTTCCAGTTGTTGGGTGTTTATTTCCTGCAGGTTTGCGGGTAGGTGGGGATTTTTTCCTGTGGTTTTGCAGGTAAATATATATTTTTTTTCCCTGCAGAGTCATAGGTGGATGGAGATTTTCTTCCCTAGGCTTGTGGGTGGATGGGATCCTCTTTTTTCTCCTTTTGCAGTTGCTTGGGGTCTTTTTCCACTCCATTCTTCCAAGTAAGACAGGGGGAGGAAGCAAATGGAGCAATTAGTGTAAGGTTTCCTACAGGATACTCTTTTTTTCTTCTTTTTTCCCCATAAAAATGGGGGTACTTGGGTTAGTGGGTGGCTGGGGTCATCTTCCGTACCTCTGTGGTTGGGTTTTTCTTTGTTTATTTCTTCAAAATGAGATAAAATACACAAATGCTTTTTTTTTTTTTTTTTGGCATAAAGAATGAGATCTAAAATAATTCTGAATCAATGATGAGGACATCAGCAAAGTCCCACTCAACTCTTGATGGACCTAAACCAAAGAAATGTTTGCTTTAAAATAGAAGCCTGAGCAGAAARCAATTTTCTGCCCGTTTCAGGATCTGGTGAACCTCGTGCCCAGAGTAAGTTTATCCCCAGTGAAAATTTTCTGTTTTCTATA